TTCAAGACTATAATTTTATAGTTATATTTTGGGACAACCATATTTTTTATAATTATATATAATTATAGTTACAAATACCAAACATTTTTCTGTCTGTGTACTGTGTTTCTTCTTAAATATGTTTTTAATACTTCAAATATGCTTTAAACAATACTATAAAAAAACATATTTAAAACATATTAAAAACATCAATTTAGCATGTTTTAAACTGTTTAAAACACGTTTAAAACATGGTTTTTACCAACTCTACAATCGGTACAACACAATAATCATCTCATCCTTGTTTAACATTGGCGAACAACAAGAATGTAATGATACACTGTGTCACACTGTGTCATTACACCATCTCTTGTTGGAAGGCTAGGACAGCAGACGACGTGCCAGCGCGAGCATCACCACTTTTAATTCGCCGCATCAACGTTATGTATAACATATGTCATGTGGCCGATATTTTCTCACAATTTTGATCGCAGAAATTATTTACAATTGTTAAAACACCGTTTGTTAAAAAACCAAAAGATAAAAATTATTGAAGGGGCATCGCCCCCCTCCAATAAAATTATTGGGGAGGGAGGACAAAAAGTGGTCTGCCCCCCCCCGTAGTCGGCGCCTATGGTATCGAACATTGTTTATGCCTTTCGCAGTAATTTCCAGCTTACGATAACGCACGCATGGTTTCATCCATTATGGATTAATAAAGAGTGGGCGGATTCGTGTCACATTAAAAGTCAATTAAAGTTGCGTTAATGACGTAGCCCGATTGATGACGGTAATAACATCGTAGTAAATACGTATAGATCGAGATATATATCGCTGGTGTCAACCGACGTAATATTAATAGATTAATTGCATCAGCAATGTTATAGACCAATGTGTTATCAGCTATCAATAATATTATCTTTCCGGCTTATTGCGGCTAGCAAATTTGTCAAACGTCAAAAAAATTTGTCGCTTTGTTCCACCGTTAAAATCGCAGTGCTAAATATATAATAATCGCTTCGCGCTACACGTCGTAAAACGCGCTCGACGACGTGACGAGGACAGCGACAAGATGACACATCTTTTTTTATATTCGATTAGAGTTCGCGTGCCATTTCAAGGAACAGAAGACAAAACTTTGATTGGACACAATTCTCATATTAAATAAATAGATTAAAAGCTTAAAATTAGACATCTGCGTTAAAGATGCATCTCCTCTCGTCTAAGAGACACTTTCTTAAAGATACTCAAGGATTCCAATTGAATTCCAACCGAAGATATTAATTTTGTTCTTTAAATCATTAGATCTGTCTGCGTTGTTTGAAATTTCCAAATATTTTTGCACTTAAAATGGAATAGGTATATATTTACGCGTTGAAAAGGGAGAAAGCGAAGATGCTGAGTGCAAAAAGTGCAAGCAACACGAACAGACCTATTCTCATTAGTTTCTATTCTATTCTCTTACAATCTCGATCGCGCTACACCGATCAACGAATTTTGCAAACGCTACGTTTATCTGCTTTGTTTACAATTGATTATAGTTTTAAAGGATCAGAAAAAAACCTAATTTTTCCGCGGATTTTCCAGCAATTTAAAAAAAGCGGCTTTTTTAAAACTACACAATTGATAATACAATTGACGATGCGATTCCAAATTATCGAAATTACATATTCTCGAAAACCATTTGAAATACATTTGGACATTAATAATACATTTTATAGTTTTTGGCAAGAAAGAGGGATGTAACAATTTCGGAGAAAAGATTAAGGATTGTTTTCCATTATTGCGGTCCAAAATCCAACCATGATAAACACGAGCTTTCGAGATAGACTCATTTGTTGAATCATGCGTATACATTTATGACAACGGTCGATTCGACTTTGACCTGCGTTTTCTCATTTCTGCTCAGAACAGTGTTTGATCACATATCATTTGTATGAATCTACAGCAATCCCATTTCGAATGCAGCATGTAAGGAACATAACTCAAGGGCAACAAGAAAATTAAAATAATTGGTTTGTTTTTTGTTCCTGCGCTAAACTGCTCTAGAACTCTCTTTCTCGCTTTCGATAAATATCAAACATACATCTATCTCACTTTAAGTTCCAAAAGTTTACACTAGTTCAGCCACAGAAAACAGACCTACAGTCACATTGACTGAACACGAAAAAAAAAGACGTAAATTCGGTTAATAATCGATCAATATGACGTCAAATTAATAATATTATTTCAATTTTCTTGTTCCCTTTAGGAAATAACGTAAAAATATATAATACTTTTTTTATGGATGAGATGGGACGAAGGAAATTGCTCGTCACTTGAAATTAAAGTGAAACCGTATCGGATTGCTAACTTCCAATCTAACGATTGTGACTCAACGAGAAATTGTAACGTGACGTGAATAAGTGTAACAATATCGTAATGACTGAATTCACGGTGGGACGTCTGTCATAAAAAAAAGCGCGTTTCTCGTCCTAGGGCTTCTTATCTTTCTTTCTTGTTTCTCAAGAAACCGCTCCGAGAACGCCACGTGCTGTCCGCCTGGAACGATCACGTCAGTGTCGAAATAAACTCCTGTATCTTTTTTAGCCGCGCGGCCACGTCTACTCGTTGCGATCAGAATTCTTGAATCTCAAGGTGAGCGCGAGGATGAGCGTGAGAGAGAGAGAGAGAGAGAGAGAGAGAGAAGAAAAGCTGAAAAGGGATTTTAAATGACTCCAGGGATGCGTTATACAATTACTTACTCTGCCATAGCGCACGTCGTTGTTGGATGCTCTTTTCCGCGATGAAGCGTGTAAAGTACACGTGTAATGTAATAATATGGTACAGGTATAATATCACAGTCCGCTGATCACAGTGTCATATCACCACGTGGTACGCGGCTCATCGCCCCTTGGGATTCTCCGCCCTGCTTGGCTAGTGGTGTTCGCGAAATCACGAAGCTGAGATTTTCGAGGATATCGAGGAGATATCCCCGAGAGCTTTATTCTCAGAGACTGGCCAGAAGACCGATCGTGCGTCCGATCTGGTAAAAGCCCACGAGGGTCCTCCTCCGTGTGCGATGCATCTGCTTAGTCCCCGCCGTTTTTTCCGTTAATCTCCGTGTATTCTCGATGGAGACTCCCTTTGTATCTCCTCCCTTCTCTATTCGCGACTCCGAACACCGCCGCGTGCGAAGAGTGAACTCGAGCGACTTATCCACCGTCTACGTTACAGCTCGCGCGAAGCGAATGTACTGACGGCAACAGGTCCCGAAAGCTTTATATCCAACCAGCGACCAAGCTGTCGCTGCTCGTGGAAGAAAGAGAGAGAGAAAGAGAGAGAGAGAGAGAGAGAGACCAACCGGGTCGGTCTGCGAGAGCGTGACAATAAGGCGCATGCGGATAAATAGGAGAAGTAGGATTTTTGTTTAATAAAAGAAGAGATCGTGACACGTAATATAGAAGAAAGGGAAAAAAATTTGGGAATGTCAAGTAGCTTCACGTTTTATGCAATCGACTCGTAATCTGTTCCGAGTTCGATCCCGTGCTCCATATATGCGGCTTTTTCCGCACTTAAGGAGTGTTTGTTGATCATTAGAGTTAATTATTCTACTCTTGCGGAGCCTACATAAGTGAGATTTGTGAAAACTAATACTCGACGCGATCTGCCTATCTGATGGATCGGATTCCCTAATGTTTTTTTATTTCTTCGATGTTTTGATTCTTAAGAGACTAGTTGATTAATTAAAAGCGGCGGAAAAATTGGCATGATTCACTAAATTTTTTCTCGCACCTTCACAGAAATCTAATACTGATCAATTTAATACTAATCAATTTATTATTGAAAGACAGTAATTAATTACTTATTTGGAGTGCTTAAAGTACTAAACAATAATGCTTTTAATACTTAAAATGAATAATTAATTACTGTCTTTCAAAATACAAACAATGAAAAACAGCATCATTTATTTCTGTCTTTCAGTATTGGTCAATATTAGATGTTTGTAAGGATAACTTATCGCTGCGAGAGAAAGAAATTTTTTTCTTTCTTTCATTGTTATTGACGATAACGATGTCTTGACTGAACGAACAATTTATAATATACATATTTTGTAGAAAAATTGAACGTAATTATTATAAACGCAATATATAAAATAAAATAAAAATGTAAGAAATAAAATAAAATAGAAATAGAAAAAAATTTGTAAAATATATGCAGGAAATTAAAATATTGCAAATCCTCGCTAATAACTAACAATGACGATCATGCGAACGTAAAAGCGCTTCTGATACGGTAGCGCACGTGATCATGCGGCGATAACGACAATACTTGCCAATACATATAACATAGTTCCTAATAAAATTTTATTGTCGCAGCTGTTAAATTTTTTTATTACCGCGAGTGTTCATGCTCGTTAAATTCTTCGTATTTCGAGAGAGTTTAGTCATTTACGTTGGCGTAATCTATACATCGATGGAAGCCTCGGCCACGGGACGCACGGTCACATCTCTTTATCTAAGAAAAATAGAATCGTATCTCGTTCGCGACATAAAGTTGTCACGATTGTTGTTCGTGAAATGTTATTCGCATTTCCTCTGCATTTACGTAAAACACGATAAATTCAGCCTCGTGGATTAAAGATTTTTTAGCGGTATCTCTGATGCTTATAAAATTATTCCACTTTGATTGTAAATGAAGGAGAAAAACAAAAGAAGAGAGAGAAAAAAGATATAATCAAATGACAATTAAAGGGATAAAAATCTATAAGATGTATTTAGGCATAAAAAAACTTACACAGTTAGATGTAAGCAGTAAGCAAATCAACATTGTGATTTGCTACTGCTTACGTTATTGCTTTACGTCTTATGCATTTACAAAATTCAATATGCATCATCGCGATGAGAGATCTTGCGATATAAAATCTATTCTACCATGGTGAATGCGATCATGAAAAAATGCATTAGAAAAATTGTAGATCATATGTAGACATAGTTTCTGAGAGCATCAATACAAAAGTCGCTTCAATAAAGAAAATTGATTCGCAAGTGGACATTTATTATAATCTCCATATATATATATAAAAATGTATGATAAAAAAATAACGATATAATGATATAACGATGTAACGTAAGCACTTATAAATGTGCGATAAAGTCGAATGGGAAATAATTACAACGAGCAATCTCTCAGAGAGAACGAAGATTATTTAATATTTACTCGATACTCGATTTCTCGACGTATCGTTCTCGATATTCTCTGCGATAAGAAAGTGTCAGTGCTATAACATCTCGAAGTTTAATCTTTCGATTCCCAAACGAGACGAATCACTCGTCCTAAACATCTTTCCTGAATAATTCTGCAAAAATATTTTGATAATTTTTATGAATGAAAAATTTTGTAAAGAAAAATTAATGCCATTGTGATATATTTATATATTGATATGTTTATTTACTAAATTTTAATATAACTTTTATCATAAACACTACTACACAGAAAATTTTTTATTATCAGCCGCTCGCCGCACTTGGGAGCTCATGTTTAGAAAATCAGCATGGAAGTCGAAAGATTAATTAAGCAGTAAAGAAAAATAAGAATATAAAAGAAAAAATCGAAATGAGCGTACCATTTGTTGCGTAGCAACAGATAAAATAATTTTAAATACGATTCAAATAGATATAATTTGTCCTATATATAATTAAATCAAATCTTTTATATATGTATTTTGAGGAATAAACGTGTTTTGTATTTAACATATTTAATATAATTTGATATAATAAAATATAATTACATAATGGTATTTATGATTTTGTATTTTAATGTTATTCAAGATGATATTAAGCTATCTAGGAACCCATCATGTGAAGATTATAAGTTCATTTAAGAGAGCGTTAATTGGTTTAGTTTTTGGCCAAGTTTCCATATCGACATTATCAGTCCATGGCCGTATATGCTGTCAGTACTGAAATGTTACATTATATATATGATAAACTTTTAGTACTGGCAGTGCATGTGTATCAGAATTAATATTATTGCGTCCGACGATTATATATTATCAAATTTGAGCATGACGAGTCACGCGCCTGCGGTAAATGAAATCTGACAGAGACGGTGAGATAACCTCGATCTGCGAACACACTCGGTCACGCGGATTTATGCAAATATTGTAATCGCCGTATATAGTATATACATATGCGAAGTTAAATGTATGTGTGTGTGTGTGTGTGTTTGATTTGATTAGGCCGTGCGAGCAGCATGAGAATTCCTGACGGAATTGCAAACGGGCGTGCAAAAAAGCGCGCTAGTTTACATTATGTGTAGTTTTTACACATTTAACGCATTAAAAAATTAAACAACATCGACGGTATAATTATTTATAATCCTACCATACAGAACCGAGTGATCTAAACGTCTTGTAATTTTCTGAATTCTTCGTTTCTACGTTCCTGGTTGTGCTTATTATTATTCTGAATGTTTAATCTTTTATAATAGTACTATTATTATACCACACGTATCGTACATATTATTTATGATGACTTTCATCTTTTAAGCACCAATTCGAGATACGTAGCACAATTATAAATAATTGTAATAGGATTTTATGAAAAGCGAAGATCTCACATAAAGGATGGTTGCCACAACGAAAGAAGAAGGGAAATCATTAAATTCGGAATCGTTAAAAAAACAATCTCTATATCAGCAATTTTATCAAATTTTAAAATATGTCTTATATTAGCCAAAATGTGCGAAGACAAATCGTGAACTTTGAACGTGAAATAACATAGTGTGTGAAACAATAACAGCACTTATCGACAGGCGTAGCCCATTCTTATCTTATCCGAATTTGTACATTGATATCGTAAGTGTTAGTGCATACGTGTGCACTGTTTATTTTAAATTGCGGATAATGTAGCGGCCACGACAACGACATCAACGATGACATTGATAATAATGATAACGAAAAGAATGGACAAAAAAAATCGGCATTTGAGTACTGGCTACTCACTGGGATGTTGATGGCGACGATATGTCTGCCTCGCCGCTGGCGAACGTCTCGTAATTCCTGTTTCTGGACATGCCGGCGAAGGACTGAACACGTATACGACCGGTTGTGGCCGATGAAATTGTTGTTAATAATTTATCGTGGTCACGAGTTTACGCTATCAATTCAAGCAGTCATGTGCTCTCCCGCGTATGTCTTGTTTTATTTAATTCCGCGCGCTTATTTTCACGCCGACGTTCATGTTCGTTGCATTCCGAGTCACAGCACAGACCGCGTGTCGCGCGTTTCGTATGGGAGACTGCGAGGATAAAGCACGTATTATAGAATTATTCGGAATAGATTCTGATAAGAATTATTCTGTTCTCCCTAGAAAATACAACTGGTCTGTTTTCTGTTTCTGCACTAGATTGCACTAGAATTCTCTTTCTTGCTCTCGATAAATATCAGACATGTACTATCTCACTTTAAGTTCTAAAAGTGTATACTAGTTCAATCACAGAAAACAGACCTAATAGAAATCTAGGGAATAATTATAAAATTCCAATCGAAATCCATTCCGAACAAATTTATATGTACCTTGATATTGGTTTCCAACGATTCTCCAGTTAATTTTCCGAGGCCTCCCAAAAATTGGAAAATTCTTGATTTCTTTCCAGGAAGTACAAAAAAGAAAATAATGTCATATTGACCGATTTATGATTGAAAAGAATTGCGTTTTGAGACTGAAGATTAAATTTGGTGCTTAGTTTGCAGGATTAGGTATATATTGAATTATGAAAAAAATGACATATTCGATCAATAACCAGCCAATATGACATCAAATTGACATTATTGTGACATTCTTGTTCTCCTTGGATATGAATCAGCTATGATCATGTGACACTTTATCTTAACATTTATCGTTACTCATATTATATTTTCGTCATAAAACACACTTTGTCACAAGATACACTTATCTTAATACTTATCGTAATTAATATTTGTTTAGTTTTATGAACTAAACGATGCATTCAGATCACTGTAATATTTTTGTTATAAAATTTAAAACTTCTCCAATTAAATTTAATTAATTTATATAATATCTAAGACTAACAATAAATTAAATTGTGCTTTATTAAAATAAATCCGCTTTTTTTCAATTGGGAGAAAACATAAGAGAAACAAAATCGGAAAATATCCATACATTTCCGAAAATCTTTTTTGCAAAGTTTTATGCACAACTGACGATGCACATATGAGATTGAAGTAAGTAAAAGCATTACAGTTAGAGAGAGAGAGAGAGAATTGAGAGAGAGAGAGCACAGAAATAGGAGGGTACAAATGATTTATTGATATTTATTTGCTTACAAGTATTCGCTCGCAGTCATTGTAACGTGCGCTCGCATTCTTATCTGAGGTACAAGCGATTATACAGCAAATGCATGCATGTGACCGTCAGCGATTAAGACACATTACGCAAGTTGTAAATCACATGCGGTTCATTTGGCGAACGCGGTGAACGAACGTTTCGTAACGATGAAACGTTTTAATTGCTTCAATCTAATCTTCGCTTCATCTATGCAAAAGAACAAACTCAAATTCGATTCTCACTCTCTGACTCAGGTTTTCACGTTTCATAACTCTTCAGCATGCTCATAAATTTAAGTACATAAAAGTATGTTCCTCTGATATGTCGTT